ACCCTATCGCGGGACAACTCAGGTGCGCCCCATGAATCAAGAAAATAGAACAAGGATCCTATTGCGAAAATGTCAAATAGAGTAAACTGCAAGCATAAATACAGATTTCCCTCGCACGCCCTCCCTATCCATTTCTCACCACTCCGTTCTTAGAACATTAATGGATCGGGTATGTAGTGAAGCCACCCATCAATAGTAATGAATTATACTGTGGATGGTGAATAAATAGAGATAAAATATGGCCTAAATGTTCTTTAGAGATGTTGAATATTCATATCGAGAACCCCATGATTCTATAAACGAAAAATTGATCAAAACTTCACACTAAAAAAGAGCAGAGCTCAATTAATGGCTCTGTTCCTGCTCATATTAGTTATGAAACAAAGATAACATTAAAATACAGAGGCACACTTGAAATACTTAGCAAAAATCAAGGAATAGCAGAGTTTTCCAATATTATAAATCTAGAATGGATATGGGTAGAACATGGGATACAACTTAATCGATGAAGAAATGACATCAAGTAGTTCAGAATAAAAATAGACGGACATTTATCTTTACAAGCTAAAAGCTCTAGGTTTTGATACATAAAAATACTTGAGGCCAATGGGATTTATCAGTGTGCCAATGAACAACCGTTTAAATGATGGGGGATATAAATAAAAGAAAATTTTTAGAGGGGGAAATCAAGGACTAAAAAAATTAAAATTAAAAACAAGTATGATCATAAAAACATAAACTTAGGAGGGAGTTTTAAGATAACTGAAATTAGAGGGAATATAGAAGTAAATTTCTCAAAATTTTATCACTATCAATATCCCTTGATGAAATTTCCAAACTAAAAAATGTATATACAAAAATATAAAATGAGACCATTTACTTTTGATATAAGATAGTCACAATCATTAGTGACAGTTAGATGTGAAATTAATTAAGTGGTTAGAGATATGTCATTGATTGGGTACAAATTCTAAAATAAAGATTTTCAAATGTTGTAACACACTTCAATATATTAAATATTATGTATAATATCAAAAAATAATTGTAACTTCATTGTACCAAAAGCAAATAGTCTTGTAGGATACAATCCCTATAAAAAATTTGCGAAATTATTACAAATATATCTTAATTTTTGTCTATTTAGGAAAAAAAACCTTCAACTTTCATAAACCTCCCCCACACCATTTTTCATCAATTTTGGATTTTTTTTTTATCAAAATAACCTTCACGGTAATCTTATTACCGTGAAGCACCATTACGGTACTTTAAGTACTGTAAAAACTAATCCATGTCATACAACATTCTATATACCATAAGGAGTTGAAGAGATTTAGAGAGAAAAGATTTATGGACAGAGAAAGATTTGGAGAGAAAAAATTTAAAGAGAAAAAAGAGATAAATATTAAAAAGAATTAGATAAAGAAAAAAGAGATGACTATAAAAAGAATTAGAGAGAGAAAGAAGACATAAATACAAACATAACCCGCAAGGAAGAAAATGGTTTCCGGTGGGGTTCATAGGGTGCGATACTATTACGGCATTTCAAGTGCCGTAATAATACTTCAACTCTTTATGGTATATATGTATTAAATTTATTGAAAAGGACTATTCATTTCTTAAAGGAAATATGTATTAGATCTGTTGAAAGAAACTGAGAAATTGGGAGTCAAACATGTTGACACTCCTGTTGATATTAATTGCAAGCTTAATTCAACAATCGAAAAACCTCTTGAAGATGCAGACTGCTTTCAGAGACTTGTGGGCAGATTGATTTATTTGATTGTGATATAACCACATATAATGTATGGATGTTCCTAGATCATGTCATATGGAGACTGTCGATAGGATTCTCAGATATCTTAAGTCATCACGTGTCATAGGTGTTTGGTTGAAGCTGAATGGCCACACTAATATTATTGCTTATTCTGATGCTGATTGGGCAGGTAGTCCAATTGACAGGATGTCCACTACCATACATTGGTCAGAAGAAACTTTGTTATTTACAAAAGTAAGAAACAAAATGTAATTGCTTGATCTAGTGCAGAGGTTGAATATAGAGCTGTGACTTTAACTACAAGTGAATTGATGTGGCAATAATACCTACTTCGTGATATGAGGTTCTCAATAGTAAATCCAATGAAGATGTTCTATAATATCAAGCAACTATGCATATAGCCTCAAATCCAGTTTTTCATGAAAGAACCAAGCACATAGAGAAAAAGTTCAATAAAAGATTATTAGTAATATTTATGTTTGAAGTGAAGACCAACTTGCATATATGTTTACTAAATCAATTGTAAAGATAAAGTTCCATCAGATACTATTCAAGTTGGGCTCTATTGATATCTACGTACCAATTGAGAGGGAGTGTTGACAGTTATAGAAAGTAGATATTAAGTTTTCTATATTGTATATTAGAAGATATTAACTTTCTTATATTGAGTTTCCTATTTTGTGGGATTACAAATATAATGAGATTTGTTTCTTAAAAGGCAATAGTTGTAACTCTATAAATCTCTAATAAACCATAATAATCTCTATAAATGAGATACTGATTTACTCTCTGTGGACGTGGGCATCATTGCCTAACCACGTATATGTGTTGTTGATCTTTCTCTCTCGCTATTATTTCTTTATTACCAACTTTGCATACTCTCTTCTCTTTTGAACATTTATTAGAGACTCTCTCTCTCAGCTTGAGTTATGAATCATGATGGTTCTAGACTCTCTCTGTCCTTGTGAAACGCAATGTACTTGTATGGATATGGATACTCACAAGATGTTGGACAACATCCGGTTTTTTGTATATTATTATATAAATTGCTTGCTCTAAGAAATATGGTATGGAGCAGAGTGTCCTTTTTTAAGTGCATTAAGGACTTCCCCATTATAATTTATAATTTATGAAGGGTGCGGTTTGTATAGAGCCGAGGTTCTAAACAATCAAAGTAGAGCCCACCATCAAATAGTATCAAGAAATGTGGTTTCAATACCTAAAATCTTTGTGATAGTTTTAAAAGATATTTTTATCTTTAATTATAAAATTTAAAGCTTAAAAAATATTGTATTTTTAATAATATAATTTGAATTATTTATTTAAATCGTCTTTTTTGTTTTAATTGTATCTCAAATGGATATGTGTTAATTAATTTTATATTAAAATAATATTTAATATAAAATTTATAATTAACTTATTAAATACTCAATTATAAAGATAAATTCATTAAATTATTTTATCTAATACCATTTCTATTGAAAATATTTTTTGGCGATGAGTATATTTTTGTGATTAATATAATATGACGTGCAGGTTACTAGTGCCAATAACACGGCATGTAAGATCACTACAATGGTGATGAGGAGAACAATTAAACCCATGAAATTGTAGATCCTTCTATCGGGCAACAAGGGCACCCAAAAGGCCCAATGAATCAAGAAAAGAGAATAAGGATCTCATAGAGAAAAAATCAAATAGAGTAAACTGCAAGTATAAATACAGGTTTCCCTCGCACGCCCTCCTTCTTCATTTCTCACCAATCCATTCTTAGAACATTAATGGGTCGGGTATGTGGTGAAGCCACCCATTGATAGTAATGAATTATACTGTAGACGGTAAATAAATGGATATAAAATATAGCCTTGGTCATTTGGATACCTGAATTATCATCTAGTTATCATCCTTCAATTTGATTTTCACATTTTCTCGGACTTATCCTTTAGTTGATTTTTTTTTTTTTTACAATTTTATGTAACAGAATACAGCATCAGCATACATCAATGCGTTATTTGGTCTTATTTTAATTTTTTTCCTTTATCATTGTGTATTTATTTATTTTAATATGAATCTTTTCCTCTTTGAATTATATAGAATTTCAAGGCCTGTGAAAAAATCATTCAGTTTAGCTAGGACTCGAGCATTTTCTTAGTTTCCCTTAATGAGAATTATCTGTGCATTACATAGAATTTTGAGGACAATGAGAATGTCTTTCAGTTTTGCTGGGACTCGAGCATTTTTCTAGTTTTCCCTTAATTGGGAATCCGCTATGGCATAAATCTCAATCCATTTTGACAGGATACCCTCATGTCCAAATAAATGCAGTAGAGTAATAAGAGGGATCATACACAATGACAGGATTTATGTTTAGATGGAAACAGAACACCCTCCCATAGCCATTATTAAGAAAAGCAATGGCTGGTGTAGCTTCTTGGCTCAAAATAAATCAAATCAGTCCACTCGTTGTGCACATTTCCTTAAAAACATATTCTGTTTTTTAGCTAATCATTAGAATTACGTCAATGGAAAAACTTAACAGTAAAAAATAGATTGTGGTTTCTTAAAAAAAGGAAAAAAGAAAGGCAATAAAATGTAATTTTCTTCTAGATAATTTGGTAGAACCATGGTCCGTGATCAAGTTGGATGGTTAGAAATAGATCGGATTTCCCTAAAAACAAATAAAAAAAAGGGTAAGAAAAGCATTTGTTTTTGTATATCTACAAATAGCAAGCAAATCTCAGAATTAGTGGTCTCTTTTTCCTTGGTTCACTTCACCAACGAGCAAGGGCATGCTAGTAAAGTAGAGATCTAAAAGGAGGGTATTTTTGTCACATATCAAAGTCCGTTTAATGCTGAGGAAATCCGAGCCGGTTGAAATTCACATGTATATTTATTTGTATTTGTTTACATTCTGATGTATAGTGTAGTGTAGAATGAAGCAAGTTGGCAAACTTAGGAGGTACTACTATGAACCCCATGCTGTTTGATCCGACTAATTTCTTAGTTATTGCATTTTCACAAGCTTACAAAACTTTATTTGCTCCATTCAAGGCATCAACCAACCTCCCTGGGCTTATTGAATTTTACCAACATTGACCTTTAAAAGGTTTCTGATATATACTTTTTCATTGCTGTTTTGCATCACGTAGGAAACTAATCATGCACAAGATATCATCTTTATTAACCAAGCCATTATTTGATTTTGCTTTCCATCTTATGTTTTCAGAGATTAGTTCTCAAGAAAGGGACAATTCGATGATGAGGATTTCCTGCTTAGCTCACATTACTTGCTCTAGGCATGAGAGTTCGCAGTTTGCATTAACGAGATCATCATCTAGCAATATGTTGCATAGATGGAACTCATCATCTGTATCTGATCACAGACAAATAGTGCTTTAAACTTCCCTTTCATAGTTCCAATTGCTCTTTCTTTGCAAGATATCTTCATTTTCTCCTTTAGCATGTTTACTTTTTCTGTCTTATTTTTTGATTCACCCATTATCTTCTTGGGAATGACTGATATTCATTTCAAGACAACACTTTTTTCTAATTTAAAAGGAAATAATATTTCTCTTTTCCGATTTCCGAACAGTAACAGTTTTCCATACCACTTAGCCATCCAGTTTATGCTTTCTTCTGATTGTTCTCAGCTCATAATATATTGAGGTGTTTAGTTAGAATATTTCACTTTTCTGATAAAGTACCTGATTTAGCATTACAATGTCTTAGAACTTGCTGATTGTATCTTGTCCACCTAACTTATTGTTGTAGGAACAAAACAGAAAATCGACGTTTATAAAACTTTGGAAACATATTGTTATAGATTGTTTAAACATTTACCAGCAGGCAAGAATGTTTGTTAGTCTGATAAGTACTGATTAAATGTTGACCTTTGAGTTTGTTCACAGATTCTCACACAGCTGTGTAAGGTTGGATAGTTAGACAGGTTTTTGGCATTTCTTAACATTTAGTCTTTAAGAATTACATCAATGAGCAATCATCAGTACAGGACTTGACTGAAAGCTATAACTGGCATCTAGAAACTCTAAAATTTGATGTAAAACGGACTGGAACATATGCTATAGTCCAATAGACTATTTCTTTTGGATGAATAGTCTAATGGACTATGAGAAACCATAAGTCAGAGGCTACATTCCATTCCTACCAATACTGACCCCTTTTGAAAACCAGTAACAGTTTCAAATTGCTAACCCACTAGTAAAGACGACAATGATTTAGCCTTGTACTATGGTTTCCAGAGTCCATTTAGAACCATAGTATACTTTCTCAATATGGATGAGACTTTCTCTGAGAATGTGTAAATTCAATTTGGAATGGGCATTTCTATTCAACGAAAATCTTGACCCGAAGATTGGAGCCATTGATGCTGCATTGAACAAGCTGCAGATGGTTTTAGATTCTCTTCGGAGAGCTGTCATGCAAGTGAACAAAACCGTACATGAAGTTTCAGTTGAAAGTATGCATTCTGAACCCCAGTGATATTTCCTCTAACGAATTCAGATATGTTGTTATGTTCATTATTCTATTCCCTGCTTTCTTATACAGTGGAAGATATTAGAAAGAAGCTTATTGTTGAGGATAACACATTGCATCTTCTGGTGAGAGAGGGAAACCTTCAATATACCATTTATTTTTTAATTCTTGCAGTTACTTCAATTGGTTCTAATGTAAAGCAGTTCAGTTGAATAGTAAGCAGATGTTTTCGATGCAGATATATCCTTTTAAAAATTACCATTATTTTAAACTTGCATACTCCCCGTGAGTTTTGCACACTTTATGACTAATTTGGACTAAAATTGACTTGAGCCAAAATATTTTAATTGAAAGGATCAGCTCAAGGACCTGGAGGGCATCAAATCTAGGCTTCATGAAATTTCACAACAATTCCTGATCAAATTAGAAAGGAATCTGCCCTTCCCAAGTTTGAGGAGATGGAGCATGTGCTAAAATCAATACCTGGTGAGATTGAAATGCATTTGTTAAATATCAGATCTGAGATGTACACCAACTTCACCAAAGAAATGCAGGTATTGAAAGCAAAGGAAAAACTTCCAGTTTTTCATATGATTTGCTTTGAATTTTAAACTACATGAATAAAACAAAAACCTACACTTCTGGTTTCAAAAAGTAATTAGCCTGGAATAATGATTGCCAATTTCTTTAATGGTCATTGTAGGGTGTTAGTGTCCAGATAATTTTGTAAAGAAAAACCTTTTTGGTGTGTACTTAGAGACTGGGTATACTTCCTTTCTGGAGTAAAAGAAAAACTGCTAACTGCTTCTAAATGTCGGCCTTTGCTTTCTTGCAGAGTATATTATGTTCCAATTGATTTTGTGGAACAAGAGTCAATTGACATGTTTTTTTTTTTTTTAGAACTAAGAGTCAATTGACATGTTCACCGTTCATTGAAACGATTAAGATGGAGAGAGAGTGTTCATCTCCTCTTCTGATGTTTCCTACTCCCTCTCTATCACCGATGACCCCTGTGGACTTTATTTTCGCATAGACCATGGCATCACGATAATAATTTTGATTGCTTTATATGATGGGAAATAACCTTATGTAAAAAGGTTTCACATCATATGGGTAGGGGTATTCTTGTCAAAAATATAGAGCACGCCATTCTAAGTTTTTCATTTTTCTGTAACATTCTACCGTTCCCCATTGCTGATGCAAGTCAAAGATATCCTTATATGATGCAAAATATTCCATTACAAACTACTTAATTTACCTTAATTAAAAAAAAGTGCTACTAACATATTTTGACATTCCATGCAGGCAGGCAATGACTGCAAATACAAAGCCTTCTGAAGATAAGCTCCTTAAAGCTGAGTCCAGAACATCATCTAGTGTACTGCTTTATGCTCCTAGTATGCAGAATGAAGACTTCTAAGTTAATCACATTGAAATTCATTTGTTATTCTTCTTTTTCACTTGTGATGCAACTGTACAGAGAAGAAACCTCATTACTGAAAGATACCAAAGACCACAACAGGCCAAAACAAGCACGTATGGTTTGAGACCCAGCTTTTGGACATTTTTAATGCTTTGTTTCTTTGGCATATCTTTCATAGGTGGCTCAGTTTACAGTCATCCAGCTCTAGCCAAGGTTTTCTCAAGAAGTGAACTGATACCAAAGTCAGAGCCATTCACCTTGAAACCATGCAAAGCAGATACAGCTATATGCCTTGAAATTCCACTGTATTTGAAATATATAGTTCAAAGTTGACCTTTCCGCCAAATGCAAATGTAGATATAAGATCTCAAAGGTCCCTTCTGTGGTTTTGAAATTCCACGCTGTCGTTTAATTTCTAGCTTCTAGTATAGAATTTACCCCAAGGTGACCTAACTTTTCTTTCTTCAGATTTCTATGTTAAACAAACAAAGCTACAGCTAAAGATTCTACCTGTTATTTACAATCATTTGGGGGTATCACTGGAAAGCGAGTTGAGGATGATTATCGATTCTGATGAGGAGGTGGATGGAGGTCTTAACTGTTCTGCACTGTATTTTATCATCTAGTTTCTAGTATAGAATTTACCCCAAGGTGACCGACCTAACTTCTCTTTCTTCAGATTTCAATGTTAAACAAACAAAGCTACAGCTAAAGATACTACCTATGATTTACAATAGCTTGGGGGCATCACGGGAAAGCTAGTTGAAGATGGGTCTTAAATGCCTGTTTGGAAAAGCAGAAACAGGTAAAAAGCTTTTAGTATTGGAAAATGTTTGCTGGCAGTTGTTATCTGGAGTGTCCAACCATATCTTTTGGTATGGAGCTCTTGTTATGTTTTCTCTGGTTGCAGTTTTCAATCTCATGCTTACTGATATAGAAAAGTAGGGAAACATAAATGATGCTTATTATTCATTCATGAGTATATTACTCATAGTTTTATCGAGTCTCATGCTATTCCTTATGTTGCACCTATTTTGGCTAATGAAAATTCTTGATTGTGGCATATCCAACGGGCTACTTAGGGAGACCAACAACAGGCTACTGGAGTTGTTCCTTTGAGGAAGCAAAGGAAGAAACTAAAAGAATGTTGAGGAAAGCAAGGATGAGGAAAAGAAAACATCAAGGATTGCTTTACTATATAGATTGATGTATGGGTACGTGTAAAATCAAGCATAATATTCCAATGCTATCAGCACACTCATTTTTCTTGGCAAAAGTTCTCACAATGTTTAGTGCGGCCTTTTCATTGTCCTAGCAAAATTTCTTCGATGAAAAATGGGGCATATATACATGCTTCACAGAAATGATTGAAAGTGTCTGCGCGAATGCGCCGATGACCAAAGTGTACCAATAGACATGCATGGTTATATGTATGCCCTCAACATATTACAGAACAACAATTATGAAATGCAAGTCATGCACTCCCCTTCAGGTTGATATTGAGAATTTAACTGGTGAATATCTCTACCAAAAATTTGTATCCAACTACAGTCATTCCCTTACTGTGAAGAATTTGTTCCATGCGTATATGAAGAAGAGAAATAACAACTGAAGCGAAATGGTGATAGACAAAAGCCTGTCTGTCTTCTATGTTGTTGCTTCGTTCTATAAAGATGGGTTGTTGCACTTTGAATAGCTCTAACATTGTATCCTTAAAATGCCGTCTCTCTCGATTGTAACTCTCTCTCTCTCCTACTGTCACTCAAGATGGAAATTCTCTCTCCTCTCCTCTCCTGCTGCCTCTCTCTCCATCTCCTGCCTGCCTCTCACTCCACCCTCTCTCTCTCTCCACCAACTCTAATCTCTCGTTGCTGCTGCTGCCCCTCTCCCCCAAACTCCAATATCTTGCGGCTGCCGCCCCCATCTCTTGCCACTGAAACTCCATCTTCCACCTCTCTCTCTCACCCAAACTCTCTCAATCCCTCGCTGCTGCTGCCCCTCTCTCTCAACCTCCCTCTCTGCCCCTTCTCCCTCTCTAAAAATACAACAAAACTTTCTGAAATTTCAGTATTTTTCAGTGCTCCATTGCTTCCCCAAAAGCAATTGGGGTAATCTTTGGTGGATTTGAGGTTCATCCGAGGTTCAGGTATGTTATGTTTGAATCTTTGCACCATTACTGTTTTATTTTGATTTTTAAAGTTGATTTCTATTTTTTTTTTTTTAGGATATCTTTGAATCTTTGATCCATCAGAGCTATATTTTCATTTTTACAGGTAATATCTATTTGGATATTATTTGTTTCATTTTGGGTTTTGGGGGTTTTGGTTTTTCGGTAGCTGAATGGGTTTGTGTTTTGCGACTGTGTGTGTATAAATGAATTCTTCTGCAATTTGAAATCAGTAACTTAATATAGCTAAATGTGTTGTTTGTCTTTGAAAATGTATAACTTATGCTATATTGGATCTGCAATTTGAAATGAGTCGCATCATAAAATTGCTTTCCATTTTTTTAAGGATATCTTTGAATCTTTGATCCATCAGTGCTTTATTTTGATTTTACAGGTGATATTTTTTTTATTTTTTTTTAGTTTTTTGGATATTGTTTGTTTCATTTTGCGTTTTGGGGGGTTTTGGTTTTTCAGTAGTTGAATGAGTTTGTGTTTTGTGACCATGTAAATGAATTCATCTGCAATTTGAAATCAGTAGCTTAATCTAGCAGCATGTGTTATTGAATGTTGCATTTGTCATTGAAAATGTAACCTATGCTGTGTTGGACTTGTAATTTGAAATGAGTAGCTTAATGTAGCATCTTCTGTTGTTGGATGTTACTCTGTGTTGTTGGATGTTGCTGTCTGTATTTTATTGTAATTAACATTTGGATTATACTGCTTGCTAAAAATATTAGTTGTCTTTATTTCTTCCCCTTTGGATCAATATCTTAGTTGTCTGAAATGGTACCTCATTTGCCCATACATCATAGCTGTATGGGCTTATAATGAATGGGGGTTGGGTTTTGTAACTTGAAATTCTTATAGCATGTATTTTGAATCTTGTGAAAGCCAACTTGTTGGGGCAGTGAAGGTTCAACCAGAAAACTTCACACGTCGTTATTCTAGGTGCTTGCCTATATTTTTCTCTTACCTAGTTCGACTTTTAAGAATAGATGAGAGATTGAACTTGTAAAAGCCTTGGAGTTTAGATTTCAAATTGTGCACATAATTCTCCAAATGAATATTGTTGTGGCCTCTGCCTTTGTTGAGGGATCATTGTTCGACTGCTTGATCGTGTCGTCTGTGTCTGCGTCACATCACTTATATGTTGTAGCATTATATGTTTGGATTGCCATATGGTTTGTATCAGTGTTAAAAACTGCAAAAATAATTCAAAATTAAATGTACATGGAAATTAATTATTAAAATTTCCCAAAAATAAACAAAGAGAGGAGGAAGAAATACAATCGACTAAAAGAAAAAAAAGGAATAATAAAGTCATGGTTATTGACAGAAGGCTTGTATGGACTAAAGAATTGGAAATTCTTTTTCTCATCTCTATGCATATGAACTACTGTGTGAATCGCGATTTAAGCTGCGTGCCAACAAGAAGAGCAGAAGAACTGAATCCATTTGTGATTAGGGGGATTCAAGAATTTTGTTAAATTGGAAAGTTTTATTTTCTTCACTATGAGTCTCAGTGTGAGTTGAAGAAATGAATCACAAAAAGAAGAAACATCAGACTGAATTGATGGGTGTTTAAGGGGAACCAATACACTGAAACAATTTGCCATGGATGGAAGATTTTCCTCTTTGTATTCAGTTGCGATGGCCTAGACCTAGAAAGACTGTAAAATTTTACAATAATTGGAAGGTTCTGCACAAAAATAGGGCACAATGTTTTTGATACAGGACTCAGAAAGTTTTTGAAAGAGAAGAACTTGTTTCTATATTGAATGGTTTGTCTCAGTTGATGTAATACAGGGAGATTTTAGATTGACTGAATGTTTTTGTTAAAATTGTAAGGCTTTTTCTCAGAATTCCTGATATTATAAGAAACAAAGACAATGTCAAGAGTTTTCTCATAATGAATGTTTTTTACCAGAATGCTATACCGAGAGAAACCATGAAAACCTCCAATCATTGTTCCATACTGAGACAACTAAAAGACCGACAACAGTTTCTATACATATGGAAGGCTTTTCTTAGAGCGGGTTATTGTTGTTTGACTGGAAGAGCTACAAATACTACAGTACTTCTAGAACAAGTAATGAATGGGTGTGGGTTTTTTAACTTGAAATTTCTTGGAGCATGTATTTTGAATATTGTGAAAGCCATCTTTTTGGAGCAGTGAAGGTTCACCGAAAACAGTTCACATGTAGTTATTCTAGGTGCTTGCCTATATTTTTCTCTTAGCTAGTTGGACTTCTAAGAATAGATGAGATATTGAACTTGTAAAATCCTTGGAGTTTAGATTTGAAATCTTGCACATAAATTGACATTGTACCATCATAATTTTACACTGTAAAGTGCAAAGAGCTTTATGCATGAATTTAACTCCTAGTGTTTCATATGCTTGTGATGAAGTTCTTCATAGTTCTCGTCACCTCTATGCATAATGAATCTCAATGACCAATTCCCTCAACTTTGTAAACGCAGACCAAGATGTAGTCGAATGCTCATCTTTATTGCAAAAACAAGAAATAACTACAACAAGCCTTTCTACAAATGCTCCAATTAGAAAAGAGGTGGCATTCAATCATGAAAATAATATAGAAACACATTATTGTTCAATTTTAAGCACAAACCTAAAATTGTTTATTTATTTGTGTTAACCACTGGAATGAAATGGGATGCGGTCATCTAATATGGTGCGAAGAGATCCTAGACCAAGATAAGAAGCACATAGTAAAAAGGTTTGTCACAAATGCTAGATGGCTAGATGCTTGTCACTGATGGATTACGTCCTACTGTATATGAAAAAGACAAGCTCAAAGTTGTTGTCATGATCCTCGAGAAAGCAATCGTACTAAAATTTGTTTGGAAAAATATTCATGTACATCTAGCAGCATTAACTTTTTTGAAAAACCTATCCTCTAACCGTTAACTTAAAAAGTTTTGCCCATTTTTTTGCCTTAAATAAAAACACGAATGACATCCACATCCAACCACTTTGTGTCACTACTCTCTCTCATGCCCTCTCCCCAAGACATCCATCTCAACCACTCTCTCCCCCCAAACCCTCTTTCCCCAAAGACTTCTCTCCCCCTAAACCCTTTCTCCCCAAAACTCTCTCCCAAACCCTCTCTCTCTCAACTTCACAGCCTCCACCTGCGAAGCTCGCTCAATGATTAACCCCCCTTCTTTAGAGAGAGAGTGAGAAAAAGCAAAAGAAATTTATATACTAGATGGGTCTTAGAGATATGAGAGAGAAACCCCAAACAGAGGTGTGAAGGAGGATAAAACCAGAAGAGCGAGGAGAGACGTATAACTACAAAATTTAGAGAGGAAGTCCAGAGAGATGAGAGTAAAATAGAACTACAGAATTTAGAGAGAAACCCAGAGATACGAGAGCAGAGTAGAACTACAGAATTTAGAGTTTGGAGTGAAAATCCAGAGAGGAGAGTAGAGTAGTAGAGCTTATCCTGAGAGAATGTAGAGTAGTAGAGCTTATCCTGAGAGAATGTAACAGTGAGAGAAAGCAGTAGCATAGAGAGAGAAAATCCCTTGACGAGTGGGATAGAGAGAAAGTGACCACAAAGCTCAAAATAGAGGGGAGTATAGAGGATGGAGAGAGAATAATTGAAAACCAGCGGTCGAGAGAGAATGGACTTCAACAACTGAAACCCCACAAGAGAGAGAGAGTGTGACCCCAACAACTAGACAAAGTAAAACCCCACTTGACCCCATAACTAGAAAAAGTAAAACCCTGCTGAACATAGCAGGATAGACCAGAGAGGACCCCCAAGCTTCATAATGAAGCACCCAACAACAATGAAACCCCACAGCAAAAGAGTGTGAAACCTCATAGCAAAAGAGCGTGAAACCCCACAAGAAACCCACAGCATAAGAGCAAAAGAATGTGAAACCCCACAAGAAAAGAGAGAAAAATAGCGATCGACAGGAGGGAGAAACATACGTTCAAAAACAAGAGTGAGATGAGAGAGAAACCCAATCAACAGCTATGGAGAGAAACTAGAGAGGGAAATTTGAGATGAACTAGAGAGAGAAATTGTAGAGAGAGGGGATGAGAGTGGGGGTTTGGGGGAGAGAGGGCCTGAGAGAGAGATAGAAGAGGGACGCATAGAATGAGAGAGCGATAGAGAAATGGTGAGGAAACGACTGAAAACAGTCAAATGAATTCAGAGAGAGATGCTGGCCGTGGATGCCTTTCATATATTTATTTAGGGTAAAAAAAAGTTAGCAAAAAGCAAATTGTTTGGGCAGTTGTACTTACATTACTGATGTTTGTCCGATCTTTTTCGTTTGAAAGGAATGAGTATTTGTTTCGTGGTATCATTACAATTGTAGTCCAGTTTTCATATATCTTTCTTGTTTGGTGATAGATTGTAATATGGTTAGTAGGTTAAAAAATATTAACCTATGTTAGTCCCTTTGCATATTAATACAATTGGATCACAAATATTAATTTTTTGAGTAATGATCTTATAGGACACTGCCACACCTAGTAGTTAGGGGGTTATAAACTCAACGACCCCATTAATGCGATGTATTTAAAGA